TGTGGAACTTTCACCCTAAGTCATCCCCATCTCTCAGAGCAGATCTAAGGCCCAGCCAGAGAAGGAGGAGGAGAGAAAGAGGCCTGGGATTCTATGGGCCTGTTCCCTGACCCAAGAAAGCTCTCTCCTCAGAGACCTTCCCAGCCTGGCCTGGCCCTGCTGGCCCTTGTGTGCTGCAGGCAATGACTCAGGACTCTGCCCTTGGGAATCTGTCCTTGGATGGCCCTTCCCCACTAGGCTATCTCCCAGTGTTGGTGGAGGGCTTGTTGGAGGGTGAGGGTGGTGGCACAGCCAGCATTGATCCTGCTCTGGTTGTTAGTGTACCCAGCCCTCTATCCTTTTCAGAACTTGCTGACCCCAGAACAGGCACACCCAAGAACAGGTCACCAGGTTCATTTCCTCAGAGGAAGTGCCAAGGTCAGTTGCAGCCACATCCTGACGTTGATCTCTGAGGCTATCCCAGGTTGAAGCAGGGGTGGTGATGATTAGTAACTGAGAGGGTTTAAACCCCCATTGTCTCTAAGTCATGGTCATGGCTATCAGAGTTGTACATCAACGGAGGATCAGGCAGGGAGCAGGGATGACTGGGGAGAGGGGCCTGTTTCCACCTCTCCAGAGATCAGAGGCTGCTCTTGGGGTCTCGTTGGCTTGTGGTGGTGGTGGTAATGAGGGTACTTATAGGTGGGGTTTGTTTATTATTTATTGCTACTTTGGGACACATTGTTCCCTGTTCCTAGCCCCGAATCATTCTTAGTGCAAAGTCTTAATGAAGTTGATAAAGCTATTATCGAGGTCCTGGGAAAGAATAATTTGGATTGTTAGCTAATACTTAAGAGATAGCTAGTCCCTCTCTATCTGACTTGGTTATTCAGTAACCAGCATCTGATGGAGGAGGTGGGACTCTGAGAAGCACCACCTCTTGCTAACAAAGACCTAGAGGGTCATGGGACAGCAAGCCCCATGTGGAGCAGTCTGTGGGCCTTCCCCAACATGTTCCTTGGCCTCTGAACTGCTTGTCCAGTCCAACTCTGCACCAGGGCGGCCATCCCTTACTGCGTGGCTCTGCAAGTTTTCTCTCTCCTCTTGTGGGGTGTCTTGGTTCCAGAGGGAAGGAAGGGCTTGTGAGAAGTGAAACCTGCAGGTCCTGCCCTGCCCATATTCCTCAGCTGTCAGGCCTGTGAGCTTGAGTTCCTTGAAGCCTCAGTCTAGCCTCGCCCTTACTTAACCTACCCCCATGTTGCTTAGGCCCCTTTCAATAACAGCCCTGGGGCCCTTTCCATGAACACCTGATGTGGCCTGAAAGGAGCACTGGCTAGTAGGAGGGAGGCCTGGCTCCAAGAAGGCTGGGGCCCAGCCAGTGTTATGAGCTTAACCTTTTACCCTCTAGAGGCCAGGCAGGAAGCCCCAGAGGAAGCCAGTGTCAGGCTAACACCACACAGCAGAGCCAAGGAACCCTGGCTCTCAAGGATCCCGTCTTTCCTGCTAACTTAAGGGTCAGGGTTTTTGTTAGGAGGTTGGCATCTAGGTTGAGCAGGACCCTGAAGGACTGAAAAAAAAAAAAAATCACAGGTCAGAATGCGATCTTCCTGTCCTGAGAAAGATCTTAGCTACTCAGAGTCAGTTTCCTGTATGGTTGCAGACTCTTTTGCAGCTACCTTCCCCTCCCTAAACAAGGCAGGGTACTAGCAACCCTAGGTCTTTGTGTCCTGAGAGACTCAGGTAGGCATCTTTGAGAGATAGGAAGGGCTGATGGTCTCCAAATTTCTGCCAGGCAAATAAAGGTCCGGAATTCCCCTTGTAAAACAAGGGCTGCATCTACTCCTTCCTGTGCTAATTTGAAATAGTACCAGCCATTTTTAAGTGTCCACTGGGTATCAGGAATGCTTTGAGAACTATAACAAACATCTGTCAATAGTTCTGTGAACAAGGTGGAAAAAAGTCCCTTTTGAGGACAGGTTTAGGGAATAAAACTATATTTTGCCTGATTTTTAAGTTCTCACTTTTTTTTTTTTTTCTCCATGGACATGAGCTTGAAATATATCTAGGGCATCCAGTGAGATAGCCATGTATCAGGAAGTAGCCAGCAGGATGAGAAGACACAGGGACCGGCACCAACCTGCAGCAAGGAAGCCCATGTGGGGCTTCCCTCTGGCTTCACCTGGCTCATATCCAGAGCACCCTCGCCTAGGAAAGCCTGGCCCTTCTTCATGGCTTCTTATCCTTCTCAAGAGATAGCCCAAACTCTCCTTCTTGGCACACAGGGCCACCTGGCTGGCTGGGCTCTACCACTTTTGCTTCTGTGCTTGGCTTAGTCTTCTCTAAGCCAATGCAGTGTTCTAAATATCCTAAGCCATGTAGTGTTCCCAAACTGGCAGCGTTATTTCACGCCTCTATGCCTTGCCTGACACTTCTTCCCTGGCACCTGTCCTAGCCCTGGTTGACTTAGCCATGTCCTGCTTGATTTTGAAAGCACATCTTCTGGAACTTTTCCTGACAGCACTTCTATCCCACTGGGTTTGATGTCCCTCCTGTGTTCCCATGTGGCACAGGCTCCTTGTTTTTACAGAACAGCCCCCCCCCCCCCATTCGCTCTGTTTTCCCCACTGACTTGTGAACTATAGAAGGATCTTTCTTCCCATTTCTCTTGCAATTGTCAGGTCCCTAGAGTAGTGCTTGCAGCATGGGAGACATATAGGTGGACGCAAGGAAAGTCTTGTTTTTTTTCCAAGAACGTCTGGATTTTAGAATTGGACACGAGTATGCCTGTTCGCTGCCGTGGCTTTTTTCTACCTACGGTTGGGAGTGACAGGACTCCAGAAGAAAAGGGCATGGAACAGATAAGGATGAACACCTAGGAACTCAGGCGGGAGAAAGGTGGGCTGGAATGCCCTCTCTGGGAAGCTCCTGGCATCTGGGAGTAAAGGAGTATGGATGTTGGGGGTTGAGGTGAAAGGGAAGGGTTCCAGTAGCTGGCTTGTCCCTCTAGTCCCTCTTCGGGTCTGTGAAACTGATGAGGCACTTGGCATGGCTGCTGACCATGACGTGGCATGTCTTTTGTTGGCCAGTCGTCACTGCTGCACTCTCAGGGGATCCAATGGGACTTGAGTTCCCTAAGGTCTTTCAGAACCAGGAAGGATCTGACATGTCGTGACGGTGGCCACACAGTAAGAGTCCTGGCACCTCTGCACGGCCAGCCAAGATGAGTGGTCACACAAGCTGAGCTGTGTGGCACTTAAAGGTGGCATCACAGGTACCCAAGGACGAGGATGAGAGTAACATAGGGCTGATGCTCCCATCCATGTAAAACTGAAGAAGCCAGAAGCAGAAAAGGCTTCCCTGGCAGGTGAGTGGGAGGTGTCACTCAAAGCTGTCTGCTTGTCCCTGGTTTAGGCAACATCTCAGTTAACTATAGTGTGGCAGTTTCCTTCCATCTATTGCTTCTTGCCTAGGCTAGCTGTGTGCCCTAAAGTTTCCCAGAGAATTCTAGAAATCCCTGAACTAGAAATCAGCTATATGGCAATTGGCAGACTTGGAAAACTTTGGCGTCACCAAGCTTTTTGATGTCAATCACTGGCACAGGCAGGTATCTGGAGTAGCCTTGGCTTCCTTGAAGTCCCTAGAGGACCCATGTGACTCACACAGGTGCCTTGGGAACAAGTAGCCAAGGAGGTACTTGGAGACTGGGTCTCATTATGTAGCCCAGGCTGGCCTCAGATTCCCAGTCTTCCTGCCTCAGCCTCTTGAGTGCTGGTGCAGCTCACCACCACCCAAGGTTTAGAAGGACAATACAGGACAGTGCAGAGAATAGAAACAGATGCCCAGGGAGGAAACTCCAGTCCAGGGCAAAGTGAGACAAGGCTTGGTAACTCGACGCAATTCAGGCTCTGCAGAAACAACTATTTTACAAGACGTGGCCTGCATTGCTTAATTGTATGCTTCGGGGAAGTGAGTTTGGAGTTTGGAGGCAGATTACCAGATAGGTAGGGCAGGGTGAGCATCCTTAGGTTTGTAGAGCCAAGGGAAATGACAGCTCCAGGGCCTGCTCAGCCTTCTCCCCCACCCTTCTCTCTAATGAGCAGAGGCACTGAGTTGTCTCTTGTCTAACATTTTCTTCCACGCTGGTTTGTCGGTGGGTTGTAACTCAGGGCTTCAAGCTCACTAATCATGTGTTCTACCTCTGAGCTGTCCCCCCACCCCCGGTCCCATTCTGAGATCTATTTTCCATATACCTCCTGGTTCCTGGTTGCTGACTGAGCTCAGCTGATTCCTTCCTGGGGAAACAGTGACTCAGCAGGGCACTGCAGGACCCTCCCCAGACCCTTGGGTGGGTGCAGTGGCTGTGTTGCAGTGGAAACTTTGAGAGACTCCTGATCAGACTGCTTTTTCCATCTGGCTGCCACATGAGATAAGCAGCAGGGCGGGAGAGGGCACATGGCATATGTGAGCCACCAGGGAAAGAATTATTTTTCCGCCCAGTGGAGTTGATTAGCCAGGGACCATGAGGGAGAGGACTCAGGCTTTGTCACTGGCTGTCCCGGCTGAGTCATCTCTTTCTGTAGTCTGGGTTAAGACTGCTAGCTTCTAAGTGTGTGTGTGTGTGTGTGTGTGTGTGTGTGTGTGTGTGTGTGTGTGAATATGGATCTCACTCTGCAGACAGAACCCTCCCCTTTAATTCCAGCCCATGCCAGTCATTGCTGACATTAGGGAAATGATTTTAACTCAATGTGGCCATACTGGTCCACACACCCAGACACAGAGACACCCTTGCCTCAGTGGGACCCTAGAGAAGATAAGGGGTTGGAAAGAAGGTGGCAGGAGTGTGTGTGTGTGTGGGGGGGGGGTGCTTTCAACAGAGGTTCTTTGCTCCCAGACACTCCTGGCCTCTGCCCCAGGAACTTGTGCCTTGTGCAGAGAACCTGGAGGTGAAGCGCTGATGGTGCTGAAGCCTTGGGGATACTGCGACTGGGCTTCTGAAGACTGGATGCTCTTCTCTCCTCCAGGTTCCGTGGCTTCGTCCTGCTGCTCACTTTCCTCATTTATGCCTGTTATCACATGTCCAGAAAGCCCATCAGCATTGTTAAGGTGAGGAGGCTGGTTGCTAAGGAAGAATGTAGGACATCTTGAGCCTGGCAGACTTGGATGCTGTAGACCTCAGGCAATCCCCTTCCAACTTCCTTTACCCTGGTCACTGGCACTGCTCCTTCCACCTGGCGGACACTCATTGTTGGTGACTGTTTCCTCCAACCCTCCTGCAATGCTTTCCTACATGTTCCTTTTAAGTTGGCCTCCTGTTGGTTGGTGTGGGTGAGCTAAGAAGGAAGAGGCTCCAGGCTCTGCAGATTCCATTCATGAGTCTTGTATGGCCACCGACCCTTGTTGGAGGAGGTCCTGGCAGGAAGGAGCATGGACTGTGCTGGCAAGCAGTGATATTTGTGATTGAGTAGCAGGTTGCTTGCTTCTCTCTGGGTGGAGCAGGTTCCAGGGGATGATATGACCTTTGACCCAGGGTGCCATTGCCTTGCAGAGCCGCCTGCATCAGAACTGCTCAGAGCTGATCAGACCCGATAATGACACCCATGACCTCAATGATACTACCTGGTGCAACTGGAGTCCATTTGGTAAAAACAGGGCACATGGCTGTCCCTACTCCCCGGTCCCTCCTTGAAAGTGAAGGGGTGCTTCCTGTGGGGGCAGCTGCCCAGCCAGCTAGCTTTCTGTCTTTCCCATGTGATTTCAGACAAAGATGACTACAAGGAGTTACTGGGAGCTGTGGACAATGCCTTCCTAGTGGCTTATGCCATTGGCATGTTTATTAGGTAAGAGAAAGGCAGAGCCTGGGCCCACTGTGGGGTGCTGGAGGGGTGGGTGCTTCATAACTGCTGTTTCTCCTGACTGACTTGGGGGCTGCAGCTAAAAGTAAGAAAGCTGATTGTGCCTCCACATGGGGCTGAGGCTAAGGCCTCCACCCACCCAGGCAATTCCTCCTTCCTTTTCTGTGGTCACCAAACTATTCCTCCCCACTGCTGCTGGTGGACTCTTGCTATTAGCAGCCCTTTCCCCATGAAGCTTCTTGGATACTCCATTTAAGGAAGCTTTGGTGGATATGGTCAGGGTCCTCAAAGCACAGCCCTGGACATGTAGATTCCCAAGGAGAGCTTACCTAGCACTGTCTAAACTATACAACCAGTGTGGGGTCTTGCCTAGCAAACACAGAGCTTGCTGCCAAGAATTGCAGATGGACAAGGCAGGAGTGTGGCCGTCAGGGAGCTCACCATCGAGAGTAGAAGGACCCTTGGCTTAGCAGCTAATTGGAAACTGCCGAAAAGTGTTGGGTAGCATGGAGTGCAAGCTGGGATGGAAAACAAGAAGTTAAGGAAGGCATTGGAGGAGATGAGCCTTGAAATGTAAAGAGCCACAGGCACTGACAGTGGGGAAGGACACCCAGGCTGGAGGCGCCAGTGAGCACAAGTAGGGAACAGTCTGGAGTGTAGGTGGGAATGATCACAGGGTTCCCTGGGAAGCAGCGGCAGAAGACAGGGCTAAAGGATAAGGTCATTTGCAGAGGGATCGCTCCAGACTGTAGAATGGGAGAACCATGGGAGGAGTTTAGCTCTTTGTGAAGGAGAAGCTGAGGTAGGCTTGAGGCAGACAGGGCAGGTTACAGCAAGCATGACGGCCGCCTAAGCTGCTGAACTTGGGGACAGCAGTGTTTCAAGAGGCTTCCACGATGAGAGGAGGGAGAATTTAGAATTTAGAGTGTTGAGTTTCCATTGCTTTCGGGACATCCGTGTAAAGGTATCCAAAAGGCTATCTGAATACGACCCTGCAGCAAGAAGGGATACATGGGGACCGAACTCATGCAGTTGGAGATGTTTCACATATCATGGTAGTTAGAAGCATGAAGTTGATGCAAGAGACTGGACTGAAGGAAGACAAGTGACAAGGGGTGGTCAGCCAGCAAGGAGGGACATGGGCAACAGAGTTCTCAGAGTAGTGTCAGATAAAGCAGGAGAGTCCTGAAAGTGAGAGCCAGGGTCAGTCTCGAAATGCAGTGAGACACAGATCATCGCTGGTCGCCACTGGCTTCAGCAATACGGGATGGGAGAGGGAGGCGGTAGGGTGGACAGAGCATTAACTGGGAGTTCACCCCTGTCTTTTTCTCTAGTGGAATATTTGGGGAGCGGCTGCCCCTTCGTTACTACCTTTCAGCTGGAATGGTGCTAAGCGGCCTGTTCACCTCCCTCTTTGGCCTAGGGTACTTCTGGAATATCCATATGCTCTGGTACTTTGTGCTTATCCAGGTATGAGCCTGTCTGGCTTGGGCCTTTGTTCCCCTCAGAGTTCCTAGTCATCCACAGGTCACAGCAGACCCGAACTTGTTCTCCTTGTTCTAGTCTCAGATCCCTTCTGTCACCGGCTCAGGACCCTGTTCCCCCCCTCAGAGTCCCACGTGACTGGCTCAGAGTGCCTTCCTTGGGTACCACACTGAAGCTGCATGAGATGGATGAGAAATTTGGTCTCAGCTCACATGACCTTGGGCTAGGAAAAGCCAGTTTGTGACATTGTGTGTGGACATGCAAGCGAGGGAAAGGCATGGTTTGCAGTGTAGGTGCAGCAGGCTCCTGAGCTATGACATTGAGCCTCCTGGACCAAGGGTGCTTGAGCTCACTCCCACCCTCCCTTCTACAGATCTGCAACGGACTTGTTCAGACTACAGGCTGGCCGTCCGTGGTGACCTGTGTTGGCAACTGGTTTGGGAAGGGAAGGTGAGTGTGACGAGGGAGTGGGACTGACCCTGATCGGGGGTACAGGGTGGTGGGGGTTCTGGGGTACTTTCAGGAAAAAAGATTAAAACTGTGTCTTCTTTCTGGGTCTCGTCCACGGAGAAGAAATGTCTCTGGGGCTAAAGGATAGTGCTGTTTCTCTCATCTTTAGGATTTAGCCCATAGAGCAGGCAGCTTAGGTATACTTTCCATAACATGGTGAAATTCTATTTTTTGACGGAAGGTGAAAGGGCTCCACAACTCTGTTTTCTTGGACTGGGTTTGTGGGGTTGGGGATTTAGCTCAGTGGTAGAATGCTTGCCTAGCAAGTACAAGGCCCTGGGTTCAGTCCTCAGCTATGGGGGGAAAAAAGACAAAAGAACAAAAAGGTTGCCTCAGTTTCTCACCTTCAGCACTGCTGGTCTGAGCTGTTCAAGTTTTGCTCTGGGGGCTGCCACCCACACTGTTTTTTTCAGTAGGCATGGTATCTCCCCGCTAGGTACCAATAGCGAAACCCAAGTTATGGCCATTGATCTCCAGATGTTTTCAGATGTCCGCTGAGGGGCAGAGTCACCCTCAGTTGAAGACTACCGTTTTAGAGTCATACTGGTGGGGATCAAAAGAGGAATGGGAGGTGATTTCTCTGTGGTCAGAGTTCCATCTGTGCTTGCCCCGGGGGCTGGCTGAAGCAGTGGCACCCCACACAGTGCAATCAGCTGCTTGACCACAGCCTGAGGCTCTCCTGCATATCTTTAGGGGCTCTGAGAATCTCAGCTGTGGGTTCCTCCTGGCGGGTAGAGGCAGGCAGCCTTTTGAGCTTGGCCGGGACTTTTTTGTTTTGTTTTGTTTTTCCATTTTTATCCCCTTTCCTTCTCTTCAGGCGGGGATTCATCATGGGCATCTGGAATTCCCACACGTCTGTAGGCAACATTCTGGGCTCCCTGATCGCTGGAGTCTGGGTGAACCAGCAGTGGGGCCTGTCCTTTATCGTACCTGGCATTATCACTGCTGTCATAGGCATCGTCACCTTCCTCTTTCTTATTGAATGTGAGTGGACCCTTCCCATCCCCGTGCCCTAACGTGTTTATGGGAGGAAGCAGCTGGATATTCTTTGAGTGTTGCTGCTCAGGCTATTGGATGACTAGCTTTGTGACCCTAAACTGTTTTGTTTTGTTTTGTTTTTTCATCTGTAAAGTGACAGCAGTACTTGCTCTGGAGGTTTTCTGAAGGTGTGAGGGGGACAATGTCATTTCAGTGTTTTGTCTGTAGCATGTGCTCTGTTAAAGGACTGTGCCTCTTAGATTCAGTGCAGACAGCTATTGTTTTTTGTTTTTGTTTTTGTTTTTTTCTGTTCTCTGGCAGCTCTGTGTTGGCAAGACCAGGTTTAATTGCTACTATTCCATGAGGAAGTCATGACCCAATTCCTACAAGAGCCAGGCAGGCCTAGAAAACCTTCTCCCTAAATGCTGGGGACCACATGGGCCGTGCAGGGCCAACTCTGCGCTAGCTTAGACCCACTGTAATTGGGTTGACTGTTGGCAAACTTCTCAGAAAGGTGTTTGTTTCTCCCCCCAGATCCAGAAGACGTGGACTGCACCCCTCCTCAGCACCATGTGAGTTTGTCATCCCAGCCCTACCCCTGCCCTCCTCTCTACATCGCAGAGATGTAGAGGGCCCCATGGGAGGGCTAAGAGTTGGAGAAGAGAGCTGTGACTCCCTAGTGACTTCACAGACCCAGTGCTGGGCTCTTGGGTTAAACGCCCCACAACCTGCTAGACCTGCCAGCCCAAGAGAAAAACATACACCTCCCCCAGCATGGCTGTCTCCTACTTCTCACCAGGGCTGTCCTTCCCATTAGAGAAGGCTGGTACCTGGCCCTGCCCCCAAGAAGGGATCATGTCCTTTGCTTAGGGTGACCTGGAGAAGGAACAGGACAACCTGGAAGATCCTGTGAATGGTCCCTACACCAGCAGGGACAGTAGCGTGGACATCGCAGCCAGCTCCTCCAAGGAGCAGGGCCCTGAGCCTGAAGCCATCAGTTTCTTGGGAGCACTCAAAATCCCGGTGAGATGCTTGTGGAATGAAGGAGAGAGTCTCTAGAGTTTTCCATTAAATACTAGGGGATGGGGTAGAATCTCCGTAGGTTATCTTGACATGACGTGCAGCATTAGGCACATTGCTGCCATTAGGATAGAGTGTATACTTGAGGTTGCATTGTTGGGGGTTGAATGGGGTAGTGCTATCTGTGGGGCCTCCGCTGGACTGGGGATTTTTCAAGTCCCTTTCCATTGTGCCCTTTCTTGTGCTTCCCAGGGTGTGATCGAGTTCTCTTTATGTCTGCTCTTCGCCAAGTTGGTCAGCTATACCTTTCTCTACTGGCTGCCCTTGTACATCTTCAATGTGGGTAAGTCCAAGGGGAGGAAGAGCTGAGAAAAAGGATCTCCAAGGAGGCCTAGGCCACTGCTGGTGCAGGGAGAATGCCATACCTGGGTTTGCTTCCAGCACACAGTCAGGCCCAGGCCCTATGCACTGTCTCTAGCCACGTGCCCCCTTGGATCTGACTGACTTGGGACTTAGGAGGGCAGAGTTCTGTCATGTAGTCCTATTTTCTCCAGCTTGAGTGTGGACTGCTTGGCTCAAAGGTGGGTAGAGGTCTGCCTTGAGTACCTCTAATTCAAGGAAGAGGCTGTGTGAGCTTTCCTACTCCATGGACTCCAAGGATCTTCCAGGAGCATCATGGGAGGGATCTTTGTATTGGGGTCTTCTGGACCACACTGAGGGAGCTGCCCCAATGCAATGGCTCCTTTCCACTGCTCCTACCTAAGGATGTAAAGGTGAAAAGAAATCACTGTTGGTTGAAAGGGTCTCTGGTTTGCCAGTAATGGGGTAACCTACCAAAAGCAACATGCTCTACTTTCCTGACCCCCAGGGTTCTGAGAGCCCCACCCCTCACCCACGACCTTTTGCCCAGAACTGCTTGACTCTTTCCCGGCTCTGGAAAGAGACAATGGCTGTCCGCCACATACACACATGTACTCTGAATGGGAGCTCAGGAAACCGTGGGGATTAGTCATGACCAGGTCTCAAGCTGTGGCTTGCCCCATAGCTCTGCACGAGGGGCCCCTCTCTCTGATACTGGCAGGGTACCAGGGCAGTTTCAAAGGCATTGTGACCCTTTGTTTTGTGGCTTTGATGCTGACTTCAGATTATGAATCAGCCTTGAGGGTGGAGTTACAAGCTTCTGGATGTTCCCCTTTTCTAAGCTGTGCAAGGATCCTCATCTTCCTTGCACAGAAGGTCTCCTTTTGTGGCTGTGGGCCTTAGCACAGACCTAAGTTGACCTGCCTAGGAAGAACCCCTGTGGATCTTGCTTCTAGGTTAGGAGCAGATCAAGAAAATGGCTGTTTGGGCCAATGCTCAGTCAGAACCATTATACTCCAGGAAAAAGAGTTAGAGGTACTGTCGTGGGTCAGGTACCAGGCTTGCAGGAGAGGCCTTGCACTGAAAGGTCTAGGCCATCCTTCAGGGAAAGAGAACAGTTTAAGACTTGGGGCCTGAAGGGTATATCCTAAGCTGCTTCAGACCATGGGCTCTCAGCTTCTTCCTTAGGCTGAACCAATGTCCCACAGGGACTCTTCTGGCCATGGTATTCGGGAGCTTTGTCCCGAACCTCCCTGAGTCTCTGATTATGGTTTTGTGTTTTCCATAGCTCACTTCAGTGCCAAGGAGGCTGGGGACCTATCCACACTCTTCGATGTTGGCGGCATCATAGGTGAGGCCCTGTCCTTGTGTCCTGGCAGGCTGTCTTCCCTGTTTGCTTCTATGCAGAGGCGCAGAAAGAAGGGACAGCAGGCCATATTCTGGGCTGTGGCTCCAGAGAAGAAAGGCATCCTGGTGTATCCTCATTTCTGTTCCTGCTAGGCTGGGTGGGCCTACGAGAGACAATCATGGTGCTTTGGTTTCCTGGCGTGATGGGTGCAGGGGAAGGCTATAGAGGGAGGTAGTCTTCCTTAAGGCCAGGCCAGCAGTGGGCAGGGCGATGAGACAAAACTAGGTGTCAGATGAGGAGCAGCACGGTAGTGTCAGGGACAGCGTGTGAGTGAGCTTGTGTTCCAGGTGGCATCATGGCAGGGCTCATCAGCGACTACACCAATGGCAGGGCCACCACTTGCTGCATCATGCTGATCTTGGCTGCTCCCATGGTGGGTATAATCTCAGGGTGCACATGCCTGTGAGCAGGTGTGTGGAGCCTCATATCTGTGTCTTCATCTCTACACTTACATACATAGCTGTCTCTTGGTACATGTGTTATGTGTGTTCCTGGGCATGTGCAGAGAAAGAGAAGCAGAGTGAGCAGAGGACCAGGCTCTGTGAAAAGAGACTGGGACTGATAATTCTGGAATGGGATTAATGATTCTCTAGCCTTGGCAGAGAGGAGGGATATCAGCTGCTACATGTTTTGACCAAGGATCAATAAGGAGATTGAGGGTAGACATGAGAAGACGTTTGGGGAAAGGAGAAATTACAGAGCCCTACCTGGTGGTACATGCCTGTAATCTCCGTACTTGGGAGGCAGAGGCAGGGGGAATCAGGAGTTCAAGGTCTTCCCTCGGCTACAGAGTGAGTTTCAGGGCAGCCTGTGTTGCACGGTACTCATTTCAAAACCAACCAACCAACAAAAAACCAAAACCAAAAGTGGAACTAGAGAGTACCATAGTTAGACCATCCATTTCTGAGACATTTAAAAGACCTGAGAAGAGCAGATATACAAGGCAGGAAGAGCAAGTGATATGTGGCATTCTAGAGCAGGCGGAGCCCTGCTCAGACTAGTAGGCCTAGCCTAGCAAGAGAAAAACATCTCCTTCTTCCTTCAGATGTTCCTGTACAACTACATTGGTCAGAGTGGGATAACGAGCTCCATAGGTGAGGAGGTGGAGTGAATCCCCCTGCTTCCCGAGTTGCTGGAACTCCATGAAGCGGGTGTGGGGCCAAGGGTGGGGAGTGTTGCTTACTCTGAACTTGGGGTTGCACACAGCCTCTCATCTCTAATCATATCATCTCTTCTGTCTTCCCAGTGATGTTAATTATCTGTGGGATCCTGGTCAATGGCCCTTACGCACTCATCACCACAGCAGTTTCAGCTGACCTGGTGAGTGGGTCACTCCTGGGCACCAGGCTGGTCTGAGGGCTTGGTCAGGGGTTCTGTCTACAAGGCCATTTCCCCGTCTTCCTTTCACATCTGTTGTCCCACAGAACCACATTGGCTCTTTCCTTTAACCCCAGGGCTCCACCACCACCCTCCTCAAGTTAGCTCTTATGCAGTGGTTTTGCTTAACTCGGGCTGTCCCACTCTGTCTCCCCAGGGCACACACGAGAGCCTGAAGGGTAACGCCAAGGCCCTCTCCACTGTCACTGCAATCATCGACGGCACCGGCTCCATAGGTTTGTTACTGGCAGCTGAACCCCAGCCTTATCTTGGACCCCCCCCCCCCCAAGTGCACTGCCCAAGGTGGTCAGGAAATGTATACATACTGTTTTCATGAGATGGTTCTGTATAGGTGCGGCTCTGGGGCCCCTGCTGGCTGGGCTCATTTCTCCCACGGGCTGGAACAATGTCTTCTACATGCTCATCTCTGCTGACGTCCTGGCTTGCTTGGTAAGAGTTCTCAGGGGTTCGTAGTTGTCAGTTGGGAAATGCCTTATGTCTACCTCTGGCATCAAACACTGGGGCTCTGTGGGATGGTGAGAAGGGCAGCTGCCCTTTGCTCAGAATCGCTTGCTCCTGTGGGGAGCAGTGTGCTGTGAAACTTCTCAACCACCTGTCCCAGGGGTCAGCTGAGCCTGGAAGCTCACAGTATCTTCCCTTCCCTCTCTACCCTGAACTCCCCACAGCTCCTCTGCAGGTTGGTGTACAAAGAGATCCTGGCCTGGAAGACAGCCCGGAGCAGAAGCAGCGGGTGAGTTTCCTGGTGGTGGAAGCCCTGCTCCTAACCTCACTTCTAGAACTCTCCCCGGTGCTCAGTTACTCTATATTCAGTCTGTGCTGGTCCACTCTGGGCCTCAGGGACACCAAAGCAGTACCCCAACCTTTGATGTGGTGTTGGACCCTCCTCCCACTTGAGAACTGCTAACCTTGCCTCTGTTGTCCCCGTGTGTCTCCATAGCTCTAGTCTGGCCCTAACCCACCCGCGATAGTATTTTCCTCAAGTTTCATGACTTTTGTGAGTATTTTCAAGTATGACTAATAAGCCATCAGAATGCGGGCTGCATGTCAATCCTCTTCTCTACTCTGGATTTGATTCTCCCATCCCCACAGCTTTCTCTGTTTCCTTGGGAGCCATACCTGGAGATTCAAGCTAGTAAAAGCATGGTGCTTGGGAAATGTTTCTCAGGGGAGCTGAGTGGCTGCAGAGGGCTTTGGACACACCTGTAGGGCAAAGGGGCCAGAGATCCAGAATCGTTTCTTCCCTGAACCGAGGCTGAGCTGCAGATGCCTCCTGAATGTCAGACATCAAAGTCACCTGGCCCCTCTGCCTGGGCTGTGCAGAAAAGGGCGACTACCAATCAAAGCCTCTGGAACATACTGCAGTCAGTGGTTATCCTGGTGTCCAGTGGTGGTGGGTCAGAGGTCAGAGGCTCAGGTGCTGGTGATTGGGCAACTGTCCCTGGGGCCTTGCTGGCTCTCCTGGCAGAAGTACCTTACTAAGAAAAAGAGCTGGCGAAGCCTGGACCTGGGCTGGATGGCAAATGTGAAGACCCACCCCCTGGGGTCATGGTAACCCACACAGTGTCTGGGAAAGCACTTCTACTTTAAGAAGGCATCATGCAAGGAGAAAAGCTGAAAGCAGGAAGTGGTACTGCAAGTGGAGGCATCCACAGGGTCTGCCCTGTACTGCTTTGTCCTGAAGGACAAAGCAGGGGACTGGGCAGGATGATTTTTCCCTTTTTACCTACATTCTCCTGGTTAGGCTTGAAGGGAACCTGGAAGAGGAAGAAAAGCAGAAAGGGAGAAAAAAACAAAACAACAAAAACAAAAAACCCAAGTATGTTGTGAGCTGGCCTGGAGGCCAGGCTGGGCACTCTAGCTTAACCCTCAGCCACCGTGTGAGGCAGGTATTCTCATTTGAAGTAAGGAGCCAGTCCTGGCAGAACCTAAAACTGAACAGAGGTCTGTGGGGGTAGCTTGCCTTTCTGGCCTCTGCAGCTCCCCAGGCTGGTTTTTGGTTTCTTTGTTTTTTTTTGTTTTGTTTTGTTTTGTTTTTTTTTTCCTGGGAGGCCCATTAAGAAATGTGTAGTGATTTACTGGAGCAGGGAGCACTCTAGGCTGAGAACCTGATGTCCCTGGACGTTCTTGGTTTCTCTGCACACTCACCTCTCAGACCTTGGTGAACTCCTCACTCTCTGCATCGCTGAACATAATGGGGATGTTTTCCTCAAGTGCCTGGTAGGGTTGGTCTGAGGCTGAGAGAAGATGAGATAGGGAGCGATGCTTTTTCTAAAGTGGCCAAATGCGGCAGAAACACTTTGTCTTCCATATTATTCTGGCTTGTTAGTGCCTGCCCAACAAGTAAACGGGAGCCCTAATTACAGTGGACGCAAAAGGCAGAAGCTTAAGTTGTGGCTTACTTTCTCCTCCATCTCATCTCTCCTGTTCATGCAGGTATAAACAAATATGATGCCTCAATTGGAAGAGCAGCATGGAGGGTCCCTGCTGCGTACCCAAAATCTCCCTATGTGCAAGAAAATGGAAACTTCCATCACAGGGTGAGGCAAAGCCTTTTGATCTAACCAATCCAGCCCAAACCCACACTGCCACGAAGGGTACAGAAGACTCTCTGGGAAGGGACTGTTGAGCAGCAAGCATGGGAAACTGGAAGACTTAAGGCCTGAGCTCTGGGAGCTGCAATCAGAAGGGATGGGGCTGAAAGCAAAAGGGGAGGACGTTCAGACTCTTGATTCCAAGCAAGAGCCAAGGCCTGGGAAAGGCGTGTCTCTCCTTCCCATGTCCACTCATAACCTCTGTAATCGAGGGATTTCACCTTGTTTCAAAGGTGCCAGGCCTCTCTCTGTCCCTTTGTCCATGAACCAGTCTTCTTTATGTATTTCCCCGAGTAGGACCCTCTTGACCTCTCCTCTGTTTGATTCTGTTGGGAACTCAGCCACTCTGAAGCACGGGCACTGCTCTTGCAGTGCTTGGATGGGGTAAGGGAACTGTCATGGGTACCGAATGGAGGACAAACTCACTCTTTGGCTCCTGAGCATGCCCACCCTCAGAATCCAGTACCTCCCTCACCTCACCCTGAATATGCCTCAGTGGATGAAGACGCTGGAGTGTGTGCTGTGAAGACTGAGGGGTGTCGTGTACAACTGAAAATACCAGTGTGTTAACCACCTGGTGCTCACTGCATGGCGGCTCTCCTGTAAGAATGAACAGGAAGTGGATACAGAGGACTGAAGCCTGAACATGGGTGCCGAGTGTAGATGGAATGAGGCTACCGCTTGAAGCATCTGAGTGACTGTTGCTCAGCAGTTGCTTGGAGCCGTACTGCAGCCACCCTCTGCCACGGGTTCTGATGCAGGAGCTCCTTCCACTCTGAGTGGATATGCCAGGCTGACCCCTGGCATTTCCGCCTGACCTCTCAGCTGCCTGTCAGCACCAATACAGATGTCCTTTGCCAATTGTGCCTGTGCTTGTCCTTGGTGGGGCCTGGCGGAGCAGCTTTGGCGGAGCTCATGAGGGACAGTGAAGTGTCTTCTGGGGCTGTGACAGCTAGCATTCCCAGAGGGCATTATTCGTGATATTAGTAACACACACAATACAGCAGGAGCCTAGATTCCCCCCTCCACTCCATGCAAGACAACCATTGCATTTACTAGGATGCTGTGTTGGTCAGTGTGTTAGCTAGACACACTGGCCTCAGCAGGAAAATGTAAAGCTAATCCACCTGGTCCTCACTTTGGTTCTGCAAGAGGCAGTCAGTCAGGAACATCTTATACTCAGGACCTAGGACAAGCCAGGGGCTGACACATGGTATTTGGCTCAGTGTTCACAAAAAGACTTATCTAACATGATATGGAAAGAACAGACTTAAGGAGACGCTGTGCTACTTCTATATGCCACTAGATGGTGATACCATCCCGTGGTAAAGTTCGAGAAGGGCAGGTGTTGCCATTCCTTTGCCGAGAAGAACGCTGTACATTTTCCTGACTCCCAGACTCCTCCCCACCACGCTCTTGAAAGGTCAGTGTAGGAGTGTTTCTTGCATGTCTTCTCCATCCCAGCCTCATCACTTACTTCATTCTTCCTGTGTCCTCATGTCGAACAGGGAAATAATATTCCTTGTATCATAGGATTGGTATAAAGGGAGATTAGTGTTAATCCCATTTGCTGCTCGTCTTCTTAGCAGATAAGACAGAATAAAAATATAAACAATATAAGCAACAGCGTACATGGAAATAAGCAGTGAGGGCTTAAGTTGAGGGCTCCACCGTTCATCAAGGCAGGCCTGATGGGATAGGGCTGGTGCTGGTGATCCCGGCGGCTTCAGATGTGACAACACCCGAAGGAAGCCTTGTGTGATACTGTGGCAAGGCAGTGAGAAGCAGAAGACAGCAGAAGCTAGTATAAACCCTGTCATGCCCTCCTGTGTTACACATGAGGACCAGGGCGTGAGCAAACACATGCACTCCAGGCAGCAAGTGAGGCATTAGAAAGCTTCAGAAGATTTGTGGGAGCCAGGCCTCAGAAATGAGGGCTTAGGCTGTCGGTGTAAGAAGAGGGTTGAGGAAAATCCCAAAGGTTGGAGATCACCACCCCCACGGACCCTTTAGCACTCACTTGCCAGGCCAGGTTCTCGGCACTCCCTTCCATGCCCCAGCTCCATTTGTTCACCAGAGGCCCCGTACCTGTCTTCTCTCAGGCCTCTGCACCCACACGGGGCTAATGCAGAAACATTAAGTTAATTAGTTATTCATTTAATTTAACTTCACATTTGGTCTCAATTAAGCTTAAAATGTTCTTCCTTATAGATGCTACAATAGCACGTGTAATTAAAAGGCAATAACTCTTTGTGTTTCTACTTTAGAGATCCATTGGGAGGCTGGGCTAGTGTGTATGAGGAGGGGCATGGAGGAGGAGGTGGAAGAAAACGAGCATCTTGCAGAGCTGAGCATTCTGAGGCTTGATCCAGGTGTGAGGAGGGACCTAAACTTGGGTCCAGACTGAGGGGGTGGTGCTGCAGGGGGCCCTGAGACCGAGCTAGGCAACAGACCTCGTCCACAAGACTGTGGGATAGGGAGGTGGTGGGTGTGGAAGGGGGCAATCCTTACAGCCGGGAAGGGGGGGCCCTACATTCTTTACTAAGTGTAATGCCCCCACCCAGAATGTCCACACCCTAATTCTTAGAACCTGTAAATGTATTATATTATATGGTAAAACAAGCCTGTAGATTAAGGACCTTGAGATGTTTGTCAAGTGGGGCCACTATAACCACAAGGCTCCTTAAGTGACAGTTAGGCAGGGGCAAAAGAGATTGGAAGATGCTACATTGCTGTCTTTGAAGACAGAAAGGGCCCATGGACCCTGGAATGTGGGTGACTTCTAGAAGCTGAACAAAACAAATAGATTCTCCCTTAGAATCTCTCTAAAGCATTGTCCTTAGCCCTGTGAAGTGCTAAGACAAAACATGTGCACTGTTCTAAGCCACCTCAAGTTTGCAGTATGTTAAGCAGCACTGGGAAACTAATATACATCATCGGTGAAAAACAGGACATGACCAACTTGCAGATAGAAGCAGAGGAAAGCAAAAGAAATCCCCAGTGCTGGGAAGCTGGGTCCGTGAGGACCCAAGGTTGACACCCCCTCCCCAACCCACACAAAAAAGCCAAGCATGGTGGCAAGTTATAAACCAGCACTTGAGAGGCGGGGCCAGGCAGTATAGTCAGCAAGCTCCAGGCTGATGAGAACTTACCTCAGACAAACAAAAACCAAGGCGCATGGCACCTGACGAATGACACCTGAGGTTAACTTCAGGCCCTCACATGTATACGTATCCACTGTGGTGTGTGTGTGTGTGTGTGTGTGTGTGTAAAATCCCCAAAGATTAATGCAAACACAGGGATGGTCTCATAGCATGTAGTACAGAGACATCCTTTCCATTTTTTTAGAAAATACTGCTCCCTCTACTGGCTACTTCACGGTGTAGTATCCCTAAGTGAACCAGAGTGTAGATCTGCCCCAGTCAGAGCCATTAATGACATCATCTTAAAGTATACTTTAACTACTCTGTCCCACACTCCCGCCCAATTCCAGGCTTTGGGTTCCCTCACCACAGTTAACTGTTGCCTCTAGGTGTTTCTCTTAAGTGGAGCTGTGTTGTGTGAATCTGCCCCCTTTCATCCTGTTTGTGCCTTACAGACATGATATAAAGGTGTTAGGAGCTTGAGCTGAGCCAAACACCCTCACTTCCAACCTTGATTCCTGTGCACCCCTGATGAGTCTGTACCTGTTTGGGGGGGGGCACTAATAAGACCTACTTTATAGGTCTGATACTTGACAACATTCGTGCTTATAGCACACTTTGAAAAATACCTGGTGTCTTCACTGCATGTAAAAAAAAAGTCCTGTCCGCCCCTTTGGGGTGAAAGGGTCAGTTCTATCAACTATAAAAAGTCCTTCCCTGTCCTAAATTGTCACATTCCACTTAGGATAATCAACACGTTTCCAGATTGTTTTTCTGTATCTGGTTTTCACATCTTGTTAAGCCAAATGATACATTTGTCATTTGTTCTTATCAATGTTAGTAGTTCAAAAGAACTTTTACCTCTATAGACATGAGTGATGGAAGTAGTGAGTGCAAACAGCTAACCAATGTAAAGCTAAGGAGTTATTTGAAAGCAAAAGTTGATCTTTAAACTGAGGTTTGTGGTGCCAGGAATACAGAGGGAGTTAGTACTGGCACTTCACGTCTGAGAGTCATTTCTACTGTGAACATTCAAACCCGGCCTCTCCACTGCCTGTTTCTCACCTGTGAGATAACAGCACATTTCTTTACACACTGGGAAATCAGACAGGAATGCTTACCTTCACCTGCAACTGAGTACACTTGACAGGAATGTTTACGTATTGAAGAACAGGCCAGGAAATGAATTACTTTATTAGAATAGAAGCCTTAAAATGCCTGGGATACCTCCATCCTGGCCCTCCCATTGCCTCACTCCGTCAGCACAAGTGCCACACGTCCAGTTGGCACTGACCAGTGCTGAAGTGCAGAGTGTGTTGTGTGCATGGAGGGAAGGCTGTGCTCCCAGTGCAGAGTGTGTTGTGTGCATGGTGGGAAGGCTGTGCTCCCAGTGCAGAGTGTGTTGTGTGCATGGAGGGAAGGCTGTGCTCCCAGGGCAGAGTGTGTTGTGTGCATGGAGGGAAGGCTGTGCTCCCAGGGCAGAGTGTGTTGTGTGCATGGAGGGAAGGCTGTGCTCCCAGGGCACTGATACAATCCCTCTAGTGCATTTGTACATCAATTAGCCAAAACCCTGGATCAGAAAAGAATCTAGTTTTTCTTCCCATTTACCAGTAAGAAATTTAAGTTTCTTATCAGAACACTCCTCCGAATGCTTTGCTGGCTTGAGACATTCCTAAAGTATGACGCAGTTGCTTAACTGACTGGACAAACATCCTTGGTAATGGACTTGGGAGGGTACAGCTCACCTAGATCATCAGGGTATTATTGTCCTGGGAAGCTATGGAAGGACCTGCTCTCTCATATAGATTTCCTCTCCTTTGCACTTTCCAAACACTGGGGAATTGCCAGTCTTTCTGGACAGTGAATGGACAGCACAGTCTGCCCTGTTGAGAGGATGGCTAATGGACACTGAAATGACATGGGTATTTGAGGGATAACCCTAAACAAGCCCTGTCTCCAGACAGGCCCTGAACATAAGGAGAGATGCATCAGGCATCACTTTAGGGTGCCCCGTGTTGACAGCTCTGAAATTATTCAGTTTATTCTTTAGCCTTCCCCTTTGGGATTTTTGTTTTTTACAGTTGGACATGTTTACTTTGAATATGTAAAAAGAAACTAATCATTTCATTTCACCATACTAGTTAGTATAGATAAGAACTGTAGAAGGCAAGACAAGCTGCAATACTTTATATGGTGTGTGTCTGTGTGTAAAGCCAGCTCTTACTACACAATCCTGTGCTATCAATTAAAAAAAAAAATGGATGGCAATGATGCATGCACACCAGAAGAGGGAATCAGATCCCATCACAGATGGTTGTGAGCCACCCTGTGGTTGCTGGGAACTGAACTCAGGGTCCCTGAAAGAGCAGGGTCTTAACTGCTGAGCCTTCTTTTTAGCCTTGTTTTTTTTTTAGGTTTTTATTTTTAAGCTCAAGGGAAATTTTATTAGAATTTAAAAGAAAAAACTCCAGGCCAGGCAAGCTGTTGATCTTCAGCAGTTTCCTGGAGGGGGAAAATGCAGAAGAAAAAAGCTTTTTGTGGTACCAACATCCGTCTAGGACTGGCAGCTGATACCACATGGTGGGGGAGGGCAGTGGCTTTAGAAAAATAGTAAGGAAGCCCAAACTATCAGGAAAAGCATAGTTTCTGGCAAACATCTGAAAGAAAGGGAAAAAAGAAGAAAGTTGCCTCTTTCTGAATTAGTATTTAGGAAGGTGAGCAGGCCTACCTAAGTGCAGTATCTCACTAAAAGGATAATTATTCCAGCTATCTCTTTAGTATAGCTAAAATGAACCTGTTGTCCTAGCAGTGATACCTTGGCCAGGTGGTTGACCTGGCCCAACTGGATGTTAGGCCAGGGATTCCATTCTCTTGAGCAACGGTTTACCCTCAATGGGCCTTCACTGTAACAGTCATCCCTCTGAAACAGTAACCCTAAATAATTTATGAACTAGATCAGGGATCAGGGTCCCCAAACATTTCTGCTCTCCTTGGCCTCTAGTTAGACATCTTTGCAGAGGAATGAAAAAGATAGGTTCATGGTCATGAGCCTTTCCAGAGCTGCCTGGCCAGCAAGCTTCTTGGGAGGAGACACATGGCTCTCTGTGCTTCTTGGGGTCTGTGCTCCACCTGGGATGGCTAAGGCACCCCGTAGGAAGGCTCACAGGTACCCAGAAGCTTTCGTGCCCTGAAGAGAATGAGCCTGAACTCCAGACTGCCCCCCTCCCTTTTGGTCTCAGAATGTTCTTATATATGTTTCTCTGTATCTTCCCCATGAGCCCTAGCAGACTAAGAATCAATTTCATTTGAAGGTTTTTGAATAAAACCTCTTCTGGAAACTTTCCCCAAAGTCAAGAAGATAAAGGAGCCAGTTCCAGTGGAGGGACAACTGTAACTCGTCCTCACCGGCCTTGACTCCCAATAGTCACTGGTTCTGGCCTCTTATCGTTAAGGCTGGGCTCCCATGAGGTGGTAGAACTTAGTTTTTCTATGCTCCTACAACAATATCAAGGAGAGATGGGAAAAAGGAGGGTCCCTAACCTCTCAAGTTCTCAACCAAAGGGTCACAAATCCTAGAGTGGTGGCTCTCAACCTGTGGGTTGAGACCCCTGTGGGAGTCAAATGACCTTTTCACAGCGGTCGCATATCAGATATCCTGTATATCAGATATTTATATTACGATTCCTAACAGTAGCAAAATCAGCTATGGAGTAATAATGAAAATAATTTTATGGCTGGAGTCACCACAACATGAGGATTAAAGGGTCACAGTGTTAAGAAGGTTGAGAACCGCTGGTATAGAGGTTCCCTTCTATTGTGAGAGCGAATGGCTTCTGCCACATCTAGGTTTGCCGCTGGCTGCTCTGTGAAACCTAAGAGAGTTCATCACCTTTAAGCCTCCGGATTTTTCTATTTAAAAATAAAAGCAATAATGGTAAGTTGTTTTAAGAACTAGGTCTCAAAGACATTAGTACATTCCAGGCATCTAGCCAGAACTAACTCACCTTCCCAGCTTGTTCTCCTAGCTCTCAGACTAGAAGACCCCTCTTCACACTGTTCTTGAAGGGCAGGTTGGCACTTCCAAAGCAGAAAGAGACTGGGCCCTCCACCCTAATTTCATTTATTGGGAAATTAGACAAATGTAAAATGATACTGTAATGCTGAGAATATATGTTCCTTACTAATTCTGAAGAATTTCCAAGATGAAGACAGAGGCATGCTTGTTGGGGGACATCTGTAATCCCAGTACTCAAGATGGCTAAGGCAGAAGGGTCCAGAATGCAAGCCAGCTCAGGATCCCTAGTGAGACCTTTGAATTAACCAACTAACCAACTGGCCAACAAGATAAAAAGAGCCAGGCCTGATGGGTCAGGCCTAAAATCCCAACTTCTTAGGAAACTCAGGTTGGATGGTAAGTTCAAAGCCTGTCTGGGCTATAGAGAAAGTTCAAGGCCAGCCATGGTAATAGTGCAATTGTTCTTCAAGATAAAAAGTAAACAGTCGGATAGGATGGCAGAATACTTGCTTATCATTTGTGAGGCCCTGGGTTCACTCCCCAGTACTGTCAAAGGGAAACAAAGGGCTTAAACCCAAAGTTGAGCCCAACATGATACTAAATACTTAAATAAGGCACCCAGAGCCCACCACATCCTGGGAGTAAAAGGCCCAAGATACATGCTAGGAAGATATTTAACATTTCCATACTTCCCTTCTAATCTCTGAGCAAACTTAAAGTGTAAATATACAAAAGCTGTAGCCAGGAGTTTGAAAAGACAGCCCTTCGATGGTTGTTTATTGCTTTATTAGGACTTGGGCAAGTGCCACTCACACTGCCTTTACAGAGCTCTGTGGAATTACACATAAGAGATGGTCAGTAAATGCTGCCTAATACATCTTCCAAACTATCCCATTAAAGCAACCTTTTGTGTTTGAATGCCTTTCTCTTCCAAATGGTTCCAAATACCCAACTAAGAACTTACAATTTATACATTATCAAATAGGACCAGTTTCTTCTATTGGACAATAGAACCTAAAACACCTTCTCCCCAGCTCCACTATTGACAGCTTGACTAAACACTTACCCCAAGCAGATCATTGTTACTACTTTTCATTCAAAACAGATAGAAATCCTGAGAACAGGTTCCAAGAAGACAGTTGTATCTGTCTTTAGATGGTGACAATTTATGTCCATCGAGCTATTTTGCTACCAGGTTTCTAAAAGCCAGGGCTCGAGAGGTTTGTCTTAGTGACAAATGGTTATCCTCTGGTCTGAAGACATGAAACTTGTCAAGGCTCCAGAGAGTGCCTTTGAGTCATCCATGATGTCAACATGTCCTATGTTTCCATTACCATGTTCAGCAGGACCGCAGTGGTTTGGCATAGATCGGCTCCAGCACATGATGAGTAAGAAGCAAAAAGAGGCCTCCAAGAAAGACAACACTGAGGAAAGCCAGCAGGACATAGCGGCCGATGAAAAAAGCATCCACAATCTGGAGAGAGAGAATATCAAAATGGAAGCTCCGTCGCTCCAGCGCCCTGCCTGTGTTCTGCCTGAGCTCTGATGCCCACAGTTTCTTTGTAACTTCAGGTAGCATCTTGCCCTGGGTTTCTTCTGCATATGGGTAAGAAAACTTTCAGCTCCCTGAGTAGGAAATATAAGGTTTTCAAAGAAAAAGAGGAGGGGAGAGGGGAGAAAGAAGAAGAAGAAGAGCAACAACAACTAATAATAACAATAAGGTACAGGAAACAAATGGTTCAATTTAGGAGAAAGGATGGCTCTCAGAACGAGATGACTTTGAAGCGTTCATCACAAGCGTTCTGAACCCTAATTGCAAGAGAGCGAGGGAAAGTGGCCACTTATCTCAGACATTAAAACGCTAAAAGGGTATGTAACTTGCCCCATAATACAGTTGGTTGCCTGGTAACCAGTCATACGTGAAGCCCTAATTCCACTGGTCTTTATTAACAAAAACCTGTATCTGGTATTGGCTCTACCCAGATGTCCGCTGTCCACTTCCAAAGAACACAGCTCTATTCTCCCCAAAGCTAAGCAGCTATGCTTAAGTGGGCAGGAAAAGCAGGTTTCATAAACCAAATGAGGGCAGGGCCTAGGTTCACAGAAGCCATGAGGACTCATTTCCTGGAGAGATCCCCAAATCTTGATAAGTAACTGTCACAGCCCAAATAATAGCATAATAATAATAATAATAATAATAATAATAATAATAATAATAATAATAATGATAGCCTAATCCCTAGAACCTGTGAACAAACAGATTGCATGACATAGTGGAGATAGGGTTGTGACCTTAAAGTTGAGAGATTAGTTTGGATTATCCAATCTGAGCAGGCCCAATATAAACAGAGTCTTCAAAAACTGAAGATTTGGATCTCATCTTGGAGGCAAAGGCAGGCAGATCTTCAATGAGTTCCAGACCAGCCAAGGCTATAAAGTGAGACCTTGTCTCAAGGACAAAACAAAACAAAAGAAGCAGAAAAATGGGTTTGGAAAGAGATGTGAGGCAGATGCAGTCAGAGAGATGGCACACTGCTGGCTCTGAAGATTGCCATAGGCAGAAGCCATGGGCCAGGCACTAAGAGCAGCTGCTCTAGCTGGAACAGATCAGGAAGCAAGCATTCTTACAGAACCTCTGGAAAGATGCCTGGGCCTGCCCACCCTTGATTTTAACTCAGGGAGATTGGTAATGGACTGCTAACCCACACGGCTGTAGAATATAAATTTCCGGTAGGAACTATTATGTTGTCAGGAATTTGTTACAGCAGCAACAGCAAGCTAATACCGTGTCGATGCACAAAGTACCTGAACAATCTAAGCAGAGATGCGAGATCCAAAGACATCAAGAAGAAGGCTGCAGCCACCCCAGCTGCTCCGGAGACCACCCCAACAGTCAACTTACAACCAAGGTCAGGTTGATAAAACAGCTTTAACATAACTTTGACCTTGGCTCTGGTACTGAACAAGTCTCTCGCGGGCTACATGTTTGCTCGCTCGACTGTTTCACTTTTTAATTAGCCAATTAGCAGGCCTTGGGTGCAGAAGGCCCAGGCCATGTATTATTGATACAGTATTGAGCCAGGCTGCTGCAGGGGCCAGCTCTCAGAACCTGAAAACGAGAACTCTGATTCTGCTGGCCATGCTGATAAACATATTTTGCTCAATCCCGGTTGTCTCCTGAGTCTGAAACTCATATGACAGAAGGGAGGGAGTGATTTAGAAGCGGTGCTTGCTCTGTGCCTTTTCCAGTAGTCATAGCTGCAGTAATTACAAATATGGCAGCACATATCGCTCTTGTCTCCTAAAAACAAAGACACTGGGGTAAGCTAGACGCAGAGAGAGCTGACACCCAAGGGAATAACTCCTGGAATTTGTGTAGTAAGCATAATTTCCCTTAGAGTTTCCAGAACTAATTTTCTTCCTCTCACCATCATTAGTCCTAGATAGAGCTGGAAGTGTGTTCACTTTACTTCAAAAATTATGTAATTTTGTGGGCAGTATCAAACTGACAATCTGTCAGATCTAGAGGATGGTCTCTAATATTCTATTGGATTCTAACAAGTGTGAATTTTAATTTTTAATTTTAATTTTTGGTTTTGTGACACAGGGTTTCTTTGTGTAGGTCTGGCTGTCCTGAAACTCATTCTGTAGACCAGGCTGGCCTCAAACTCAAAGAGATCCACCTGCCTCTGCCTCCCAGGTGCTGGGATCAAAGATGTCTTCCACCACCGCCTGACAAGTTTGAAGATTTTGTGGAGAGATCTCAGCTTAAACCCTTGCTCTGCTTCTTCCTGGACAGTGTGACCTTGACATGTCACCTGAAACTTACCTTGAAAACAATATTGTAAACTTCATACCACTTAGGCTTTGCCGTGTGGTTTCAATGAGACACTATAAACAAGGCATTTAGCACAGTTCTTAGAATACAGTGATCCTTTAAGAATGTTAGCTATTATCATGGCTTCCTACTTCAAGATTAAAATAGCTATTAGAAGGGAACAGAATGCCACAAGAAGATGTAATGGGACAGAAGAGGTCAGTACCCTTCTCAAAAGTCTATGACCAGCCACACATGATAGAACCAGACCCTAAGTCAGGAATGAACCAGAATAGGTGAGGGCTGCAGAAATGGGTCAGTGAGAGAGGTGACACAAATCTATTTACAGAAGTAGGGGCTGGCAGATGTGGTATAGGAAATAAAGATGACAGAATCATTCACACAGAACTCATTTGTGACTTCACTTTCTGCCTCCCGTGGAAAGGCTCCTCCCAAACACTTTTTTTTTTTTTGATGGAAATGATTCTCTTGATACCACAAGTGGAAAATGGCAAGCTCAGAGGATGGAAAATCATGTCACTTGGCACCCTGAGAACACTACATCGATTTTGACCAGCATCTGAGATTCTGAACCAATGCTACCTGGAGCAGGGAACACCACACTGAGGGCCTATGCCAGTTCCTAGTTCCTAACTCTCTTCTCTTTCCGTCTCTTCAGTAGTAAGTGGCTTCCCATGCTGTCACTCAACTTGATGCACATGGCCCATGACAGAACACCAGGTAAATCATGGCCTGGTGGTGTTGCAGTGGAATTCAGAAAACTCTTTTCCAGGGTAACCCCCCTGGATCCCCATCAGTGTCTAAAGAGGCCACAGGGCAGGATGGAGAAGGCTGAGATCAGGGGCAAAATGAAACCTAATAGCTTTACCTTCATTTCGACCTCTGGGGCTGGGACTTCACTGGCTCGAGGAAAAAGCAACAGAATTATAGTAATGATCAGAGCACCCAGGACGACGAAGACGATGGAGAACCTGCGGACACAAGGATCTGAGAATCAGAGGTGCTGCCAACACTCTACTTTTAACCAGCTGGGCCTGTGCCAGCTCCTCCCTGGGGTCACAGCCACTTAAGGGCCACAAAGTTCTCCATTCCAAAGCCTTGCTTCCCAGACAGGTTAGCATCTGGGCACATTCCTACGTATGTCTGGTCATTCCCAATTCCTAACAATGGGAATTCATAGTTTTCTGCACGAAGTGTGCACACAGACACACATATCCCTCCCATCCCGATAGGCTTTTGTTCTTTTCAGACCAAAACACTTCAGTACTGTAGCTCTGTTTATTACTGACATAACCTTGCCAGAGTGTGTATCCTACCTGCCTCCAAGATTAGGTTATGGCCGGATGCAGAGGACCAGGCCAACTCACTGTGAGCCTCGGTGTCTGTGGGCCCAGGCTAGAGCCTTAGGGACTGGACCAAGCATGTGCCATAAATCTGAACAACTGGACAAGACTACCACCTACAACACCTAAGGGCCTTAATAGCAGCCAAAGCATATGTCCTTGTCCTCTCTGGTCTCCACCCGCTCCCCTCCATCTCCTCCACAGTGAGAAGGGAAAAGCGCACTTCCGTTCTCCTCCCACCTCTGCCTCAGAGCATAAATAACACAGTTAGTGCTTATGATAAGAGGTTAAAATGCAACTCATTCAATCTGCCAGTAATTACAAAAATGATCTTCTGAATTCTAAATGTTTAATGAGCGTCAGCGATTTTTGCCTCTAATTGCTTTTACCTAGGACTCCCGGCTGGAAAGAATGCCTTACCTAGCTATCCCAGAGGCTCTGGATAACAGCACACACAGCAGCAGCACCAACACCCAGATCAGAGCGAGGAGGAACACGCCGGCACCCACTCCCAACACCATGCCAGCCATCCTACGGGACAGAGACCACCATTAGCCGCTGGCTGGCCACCCCGCCCCTCCTGTGTGCACTTACTCTTCAGACAACACAGAAAGCCTGAACTCAATACAAGGAATCTTGATGACCAATATGTCAGGAGGCTCACTCACAATGGGTCTTTAATTTTCTGGAATGTCCAGCCCCAGAGTCCCTTAATGAAAACTGGGAATATAGAACCCAGAGCTTTCTTTATGCAGGAATAGAGGTGGGGGGCCTGGAGGGTTGGAGAGAGGTTGCTTTCTGTTCTCCACGTTGTAATTTCAAATTTGGCCTTTTTGGCTCTATTTTGACTTTACCCCAGCCTACATTAGAAATCCAAGCTCTCTTTCTCTACAAATTCTAACCAAGGACTCTCAAGAAGGCTGCAGAGCCAAGGCAGAAAGCCGAAGCTTCAGTTAAACCCGAGGTACGAACTTGGACTTAGTATGCAATCACAAGGCAGAAATTTTCACTCTGTTGTCAAGTTCCTATTCACAGAAGGAAGACAATGCCCAGCTCATAAGAGAATAGACATCACCCTTTTGGGCACTTATGATTTGCTAAGTATTTAGTCATGGCAATCAGAAAGGTATTACATCTTATCTATATAGGAGGTTGTTAGTGTTGGTTTCCGAGCTGTGGATCACAACAGGAATTCGAATGTTCTCTCAGTTCTGGAGACCACAGGTCTAACCTGGAGGTGTCTGTGGGACCACGTGTCTCCTACAGGATCTGAGAGAAAATGCTTCCTTGAGTCCTGGTTGGTTTCTGGTGGCTCCACGTATTTCCTGGCTTGTGCCTCCACTAACTGTCATCTCTACATGACATCTCCCTTCTCTGTCTTCTGTCTGCTCATTATCACCAGATTTAAGGTCTAATCACCTGGGCAAAGATCCTTTTGTAAAATGAATCACATTTACAGATGCTGAAAGTTAGGGGCTGTTTGTGGAGGGCATTATTCACTCCACTAATGAGGTCTGGAGTTTAATATCTAATGTCCTCAAGTTTGCTTTTCGGGGTCACAGGTAAATCTTAAGAAAACAGATTCTTCCTTAGATTTCTTTTACCTGATGATTTAAATACAATAGAAATGGATTGAGGTACTCCATTGTAAGCTTGTTAGAAAAGAGACTCTAACCATAAACTGGAAAAAAAAATTATTCAATCAACACTGTGCTGTGCCCACCACGGAAAGCATTGTGCTCCTAGTTAGGGTGACAGACGTAAATAAGATACGTATTCCACAAAAGCTTAAGGTCTACTAGACAACCATGTGATGCAAACGGCTATCCACGTGATATTCTTATTTGTAGCTAAAAGCAAAGCATACGGAGAGTCAAGACAGCGAGAAGGCTAAGGGAGCTGCCAGGACTGGCACACCTGGGAAGGAATCAGGGTGGCAGGATGGTAGAGAGGGAGCCCCCACTTGCCTGTCCTCCCTGCAGACCGCTCTGCCCTCATTGGAGCCCCATGGGCGGCATGTGAGTAGCTGCAGCACCGGCAAGTATTTCTCTGTGCTTGCTGTTTCCCCAGGCAGGATTCAACTGTCAGCCCCCAGCGCGGCAGGCGCCTGGTATTTGGTTATTTGTGTGGCTGCCCTGGCCTCTCCTCATGGTTGATACTGTGGCTCATCAGAGAAAGATCCTCCTCAGAGAGACCTTCTCTGACTTCCCATCTACAGCAACTTGTCAGTCTATTTCCTTCAGAGCACTCTTCACCACTGCCATCAACGCCCCAGGCCCTTGCAGGCCAGGCAAATGCTCTCCAACTGATCCACAGCCTCAGCCTCAACAGTTAACATCTACCCATCTGTTTACAAGTTCATTTTCTGTCTCTCTCATTAAGATAGTAAACTCCGGAGGACAGAACCTGTTTTGCCTGCCCTGCTCTCCCCAGTTGTCAGCATAAAGATTATTTGCAGCAAATATTTGTTGGTGCATAAATGAAGCCACGCTGACCAGTCTGCAAAACTCAAGTGATGGGGAGATAAGGCCACGGCAAAGTGTAGAAGGGTGACGGGGAGTGCTGGTTAATATGCTGCACAGGGCTAATGAGGGAAGGGCCTCACCAAACAGTGGAAGTGATTAACAAAATGGAATGTTTAAGACCAGAAGATGTAAAAAGCTAATATTCTAAAGTGCTCTGAATTTAATGCACCCCCAAAGCCTAGTGAATAAGCAGGAACTGGTCTCAAAGTCCTCAGTGGTTCTAATAGGAGATGAAGGCCTAAGAGGGCTCCCCAAGTAAGGCCTCAGCCCATAATGCAGAGAACTAGAATGAAAATTTTATTTTCTATTATACAGCAATAATCATACATAGTAAATGTAAGCACCCCGGACTTGACTGCTGAAAGATTTTCATTCTGGATTTTAAATGAAACAATAAAATAAATGTAAAGTAAAATAAAAGTAGCTCTTTACAAAAGCGACAGAAAAAGCAAAAGAGAGGATGAAAACACTAAATTTGAAAAAGACATGCGAGGCAGACACTAGCAAAGCAAATACAAGGACGGGGAAATGGGGCAGAGACAATAAACACGGAGTTTGGGTCTTGCAGGATGAAAGTCCTGGCGATCTGCTTCACAGTCGTGTAAACACGCTGAGCGCCACCGAACGGCACACTTCAAATGGTTAGGACAGGAAAGTTCATCTTGTGAACTTTTGCCACAAATGGGTGAAACAAAAGGAGATGTAAGTTAGTGCAGCAGTATTAGTAACAAGAAAACGTAGGTAAGGATTTAAAAATACCAGCAAGAACAGTTTTGAAAGAAGTAATTTTGTCAAAGATGTAACCTCCAGAACATATGAACCTACAAAAAACAACAACAACAACAAAAAAAAACTTTCAAATCTTCAAATGTACAGTCAAAGCACACAAGAGCGCTACAATAAATGGCAAACCCAAGTTAGTGGATTTTACTACATTTCAGAAACAGATCAGAGAAAACTATGAGAACAAACGTCCTACAGAGGACAGCTGACTGGCCAATACATGTAAGGGTCCACGGCAATTATATCCAACAATGTGGGCGAGTTTCACAAGTGGGCAGAGTGAAAAGTTCATCGTAGAATCCAGTTATATGATGTTAGAAAACAGGTCCAGCTGCTCTAGGCCACTGTCAGGAGTCTTCACCTTGAGTGCCTGGATGGGGCCTAGGTGATAAAATTGTTTCTTGGTCCGGGTGTTAGTAATCTGGCTTTGTAACTTTGGTAACCTGTATCTAGCTGTACTTTGGGGTTTGTGACATTTTCTGTATGTGTTACCTTTCACTTATTATAAAACCTTTTGTGTGATGACTCAATGGTCATTGGGCAGTTAATGACATCAAGAGGGTTACCTTCTTAAAAAATAAAGTGAAATGTACTCTTTAAAAGGTAGTGATTCTTTATGGCACACACAACACATGTCAGACCACAGAACATGGTGCCTGGGCATTTCATGTTATTAGGGGTTGTCAGGGTGGGGGCGGGATGAAGTGAAGGGGCTGGTGTGACACAGCC